TCCCCCCAATATGGCACCTGACCCCAGTACCTGCCTTCTGTTGAAACAGCTGCTTCGCTGGACATTTCATGGCCCAAAGTGACCTCTAGGCGCAGTCCCAGTAAGGACAACAGCAGCAGGGACACATCCATGGCATCCAGTTCTCTGCAGCTGACCAGGGTGGGTGTGAAAGACTCCACCACCCTGCAGCCACCACCTTTCAAGCTCGGCTGCTGTTTAATTTCTGACTATAGCGATTGCCTCCTTGAGTGGCAGGGAGGAGCAGTGCCATCGCTGCAAAGAGAGACCATAGACTCAAGAAACCTATTATAACAAGGAGTAATAGCCAAAAATACAGTCTGGGAGATTAAGACGGGAAAACTTTTCCACTAGGAACATAATGCAGCCTTGGAACAGCTTATCTGGGGAGGAGGTGGGTAGAATCTCTGTTCTTTAAGATTTTTCTTCAAGATTTATCTGGACAAAAGCCCAGCTGACCTGATCTAGTGTTGGCAACAGTCTTGGATCAAGCACGAGGTTGGACTAGAGACCTGCAGTTGTCTCTTCCAACCATCATTTCTCTGATTTGATGAAACAGTGGGGCAATTTTAAACCGGGTCTGAGAAAAGTCATGTTTTTCAGTAAGGTAACACACTGATTGGATGAATGTACTGAGCTGGACCAGAACATGCGCCGTTCCAAGAGCATTAACTTAACACCTTATCACCAATGCACTACGGACTGGAGACCACATTTACGCCCATTCACCTGCCTTCCTCTGTTCTGCAGGAGCGAACATCTGAGAGGCTTAACACATGTCTTCAGCAGGGGACTTCAATTCCTCAACACAGAGACATCAGATGTATTTTAGGGTCTGCCTCATGGCAAGACACTGAGGACAAAGCAGTAAATCCCCCGCTGCCGCTCCTACACTTCTGATAATGGAGTTTCCTAATTCACAGCCATAAGGTGAAAATACAGCTACACTATACTGGGCAAAGAGTGAAAGTTTAGCTACGTCTGACTTTTCCAGCAGTTCGACAATAAATCCTTTGAGCCACAGTGCTCCACTTCTACTCACCTTTGTATCCTGTTAGTTAAAAGAACTAGTTGCAATTTTTAAATTATTTTTTATATCTGGCTTTAAATTCTTGAACAAACCTGCCCAAACTGTAAAAAGAATGAAGATCTTACCTGTAACTGAGATCTCGTACGAATTACTGGGAACAACCTTCATTATACATACCTAAAGATGCTGCTGTCTCTGAATTACCTGTGGTTTCAAAACTCCAAATGCTTCCAGTTTGTGTCCTTAAATGTATTTTTTACAGTATCCTTATTTTCTCACGAGCCTCAGTTTTAAAATCAAAGTTTATTAAAATGTCAAAAATAGAACTTACAGTTTCACATACGAAATAAGAGGGCATACATAGTACAGGCCTTTAGTAACAAAATAGGTGAATGATGCTTAACAAGCTAAAGCAGGTAGGTGACACCACCGGTCATTAACATACAATCTCAGGTTAAGAAAATCTAAACACTAATGCAAACATGCTCGTACATATCTATCGAAGGGGGAATAGTTCAATCAAGCGTGAGGAAAGTAGGCTGCCTCCATTGGGAGAGTGAACTAGATGCATCTCAGCAGCAGAGACTGGTGCAGACTCCTCGAGTATCCACGTACTGGAGGAAACGTAAGATGAACCAAAACCTTTATGGAGTAATACGTTATTGTCTTTTTAAAGCCTCATAAATCTGAAAAGACCTGAAGAGCACAATTCAAGGGCCCATCTGGGAACCTGACTTGTTGCTAAAAGATAAAACAGCAACTCGGGCAAAGGCTCCTGCTGGAGAAGTTCTTGTTCTGTTCTATTCACCAGGGTTTGTTGCTCAGTTCTGAGGCGAGTCTCTCGTTCTCACATCAGTAACTGCCTAATTTCTAGCAATCGTCAGAAAGGAACATATAAAAGATTTAATACTCTGAGTCCTTAATTGCCCTTTCTGTTAAAAATTAAATATTTGATTCATCTGAATATTCAAGAAAGACAACATAAATACAAAAGCATGTACATAATAAAAAACATATACTGAATTTCTTAACCATACCGCTCAACCAACTACTATATAGTGACTAATTATTTCTCATTCTAGCTTACCAGCTTATTTGTGAAATTCCATTCCTCCTACCTATCCAGTACCTTAGAGAACTAGGAAGGCTCACAGGTGTTTTGTGATATGGCTGAAGTCCTTCACTGAGCTGTGTTCTTCTTGCTCCTTGTGCTTTTTCCAGTTAGTAGGTAGCACAAGGCACGGATGTCAATACTTGCTGCTTGAGATGGAGTCCTGAATATTCTTCACCCTGCAAAGGAGTCCTCTGCATGGTTCAAACTATGCTGATCCTTAAGGGGAGAGGAAACTAATTTATTTAACTCTTTCTCAAAGGTTACCCCCAGCCTTTTCATGGCACATACAGGTAGCCAGAGCTTTGCGGAAATTTATTATGATTAGATTTCTCCATCTTTGTACATACGCATGCCGATTCCTGGTGATTAAATCAAATGGACAGCACTGGATTACTTCTAAGACAAGCTTAACACAAAATACAAACTGCAATTCAGTTCAATACATTAATAATAATAAAAAAAAAAATCACCACAGTCATTTAAAACCACAAGGCCATCAATATCATCTGCCAGCAGCCAGGCCCTTGTGTATGGCTACACCAATTAAAAAGAGTCAAAGTTCCTGCTAGTGACTCTCTACTAGTAACAAAAATGTATGAAATCCTGGTAAAACTAGCCAAGACTACCATTAAACGAGAAGATATTCCAGTACAGATATGTAATCTAAGCTAGGGCATAGTTGATTGCATACATTTGTGCTACATATCAAAGCTACTTTAATAAAGTTTTAGAAAAAAGTAAAACCAAGAAGGCGGCACATGCACCTCTGGGGCACCGCTGCCTACAAAAATCTACAGCCGAACGCTACCTCTTCCCTTTCGTTAGTGTCCACATGAATGGCATGATTAAGCACGTTTCAGATCTGACAGGGGAATTACCTTTCATCTGTACAATCCACGTCAACTGTGCAACATAAAAGGAAACTCGGCCGTAACGTCCCTTGGATCACACCCCTTCCCCAACCTTTATCTTTTCATTTGTTGCATGGTACAGGACTTTCCATTTGACTTTATAAGGTAACTTTAGAAACCATGAAGCTTTCATGAATTAGTGAGAAGGCAAACAAAGGGGAGGAGAGGAAATTAATACTTTAGTGGAGATAATCTTCTCAATTTTATCTAACCATACTGCTAGACCAGCTTACTTTTTCCATTTGAAGTCATTTTACTTAAGGGATGATGAGATGAGATGAGATGAACCAACGTTTTTATGCATCATCTGAATCCTGTTTTTCAAAAGGCATCTATTAATAACGGTTAGCAATTCATTACCCTTTATCAAGAAGAAGACAGAAGTCTGGTTCCTAGCGGAAATCCAGGTCCAATTCTTAGTTTGGCTGAGGAGGCGATTCTGTGTGCAAACTTCATATTAAAGTTAGGGTTTATTCCAGCTTGTAGCCTCTGGGTCAGGCCGGGTTCCTGCACACACCGTCACATGTAATGAACTCTCTGACACTGGAATTTAAGATGTCATTTTTGTTGCTAATGCATAAGGTACCACAGAGTCCAACTTCCTCCACGATTATGTGGGCAATGAAAACAGTTTGTTCACTAAAATAAGCAAATACGACTTAAAGACACTCAGGGAGGAAACCTGGGGCCATTTTACATTGCAGATTTTTTTTCCCTCTCTCACTAAAACAGCAAGTCAAACACTTCCACAAAAGTCAGGATAAATTTTTGTTTGCAACTATGTTAGAAACCTGTATCTGAAAGTACATGCCAAATCAACCCACAATGACAGACAGACCTACTTTTAAAGTGGCTAGAAAATACTATTTTATACAGATGCTCTTATTGCACAAGTCCATGCAATCAGAGATTTAACTAAAATTAGACACATTGCAAAAACTAACCCCCCCCCCTAAAAATCCTAGAAAACCTCCAGCGCTATGATACAAGCCGTGTTGCACAGTGAAAGCTCCAGTCAAAATGCTGCAAGAGGGTATTCAAAAGTGCCTGTATCGTTCAGGAGCACAACCACCACTGAAAGCCTTCCTCAGAATTTAAATTTCATATGCAAAATGTCATTTCTTGTTTCTGGAAGAAAACTCTCCTCTAAAGCATCCTTTCCTTTGCCTGGTAAAACAAACACCAGCAACGAGCCTCTCGGATCGTCTGTTCCTGTGTCCACCGAACAAGGGGCGCCTCGTACCCTGTCTTGCCGATGCCTCAGGTCCAAAAGTGTTGTTTTTATGCAAACCAGGTGGTGGGGTTGATAAACAGTGGTCTCAAAGGAACAAGCGCATCAGCAAGGCCTCTCTCTACAGATAGGCAGGTACATGGAAATTCCTGGTAAGCGTTTGAAATGCCATTACAAGTCAGTACCCCATTATGGGACCCGGGCGCCCTGAAGCTGCAAACCTCAACCCGGCACGCAGGGAAACTTCCTCTGAACTCAGCGGGGCCACTCACGTTCGCATCTGGGAGCGCAAAAGTTTGCAGGACTAAAGCCTTAAGACAAACCATTGTAAAGTCCATCCGAGTCTGTCCTTCCCAGAGCCAGATCTAGCTTGTGTGTTTGTCTTTCGTATATGAAAAAAAAAAAAAAAGAAAAAAAAAAGTGTATATGAAAAAAAAAAAAAGAAAAAAAGATTTCCATAGGAAACTGATTATCACTTTCTCCCCTCCCCCTTCTAATATTTTGGCACAAATGCATATGATATTCAATTCTGATATAAAGAAACAGATAATTGGATAGCACTGACAAAGTTATGGGACGTATTTGGCAAATTTGAACCATAAAAACAAGTGCTAAGGTTTTTTTTCCAGTTGTGGAAGTTGTTTGCCATGACAGTTGCTGCAGGGAAAAAAAATATTAAACAGTCTGGAGCATGTATGTTTAAAATGAACATTTTATAATACAAGTAAATACACACTATCCCAATTTCTCCAGGCAAAAACACATCTCAGAGCATTTTAATCAGCTGAAATAAGTTTTAAACAGAGGGGGTTTGTGTCTGAGATGTCCTGGTTCATGCGCAGTCACATGTGACGGCAAGGGATAACCTATTAAATTGCATATTCTGAAAATGGCAGCAAGAGCCCGTTCACTTCTATCACTAGAGCAGACCTGGACACTGAATTCACTAAGCCCCTAAGACTTCAGAAGTGGCAGATACCAATCAACATACTGAGAAAATAGAATACAAACTTTCTGTAGTTAATGCAAATAGACTGCACAATAACGAAGGCTTAACTTAGCCAGCCAGAGCTCCCCACATGACAAATGTCTGTCTGTGAGCAGCTCAAGTCAAAAGTCACTGCAGCAATATCAGAAGGAGCCTTAAGTTTGGCCTTTTGCTTCATGTCAATCCAGTCTGAGACCATCAGGGTATCAGCTGCATCCCTCAGGCATGAAGCAAGTCTCTGCCTCCTTGCTAGTAGTCCGGCGTGGGAAATTCATTCCTTTTGGGAACATTACTGGGGGAATTAGTTCTTGTGTGTGCTTTAAATGCTTCCTTTTCCCCCTACTGCTGCAATCCCAGGGAGGACAGGTGTGGATCAGGTAGGTGGTGACAGGAATGCACGAGCAAGAGTCATCCCGAAGTCCCACGGTATCTGGCTTTTCAGAGATGCTGCATGACACGAGCCCAGAGTTGTGTGAGGCAAACGGAAAGTTTCCTCCGAGCCGTCAGTGGCTCCTGCGTGCTCACAACAGTGTGGAGCGAGCAGCCAGACAGGCACGACATGGCTGGAGGCAGAGCACTGGCTTCTCTCCGCTGAAACAAAGTCCAGTTTTTTATCATGATAAACTTCAGCTTCAAATTCTAACTGCAATGGCCCATAGCATTGTAACCAAAGTGCTAACAGTTTCAGTGGAAGTGGCTTAAATGGGTATTTAGTTTAAAAAACAAAACAAAACAAAGAAAACCCACCTTTTTTTTTTTAAAGCAGATTCTTTTCTCGTCACTTCAATAACTGGGAATTTGTTTACTATGCACTATGCATTTTGCTAAGGGTTAAGCCAATTCCTTTTTCCAGAGTCTTTGTTCCCCCCACCCACCCCCAGGAGGTGTTTCCTTAGGAGACACTGGAACAACGAATACTCGGGGAGCCCATTTGTGTAAGGACCTTGTCTAGCCACTGCAAAGGACCATTAAGATGCAGTTCAATCCAGCAGGGAGTACTGGTCACAGTCTGCCGCCTACAAGAAAGAAGGGGTTGGGGGCGAAGGGAAGGAAAAAAAAGAACATAAATGTGACTTACAAAACTTTACAAACGTGAAAAGGTTTTACAGCTACTGAAGCATTCTTTCCTGCTTAGACAATAGTCTTGCATGTGGGGCCAAAGGAATGTGTCTCTCCTCTATAACACGCTTTTGGCCTATGCTGCCAACTTCTTTTAAAAACCCTACCTTTTCTCTTTACATTTCTTATGATCCCAAAGGAGCAACTCACCATATAACCTATTTACTACTCAAATTCCTGAAAACAGGCAGCATCTGATTCCCTGAAGAGAAAGGAAGATGTTTATCTAAGCAAAATTCTTCAGTTTTATTTTGCAGACCTTGCCTCTCCTAATTAGATAGCAATGTAAGCAGTTTACCAAATATGTTAAATTTCTCTATGTATAAGACAAGGGTATTCTCTTTTTACAATTTCTTTAGGTTTTAGCAGAATGTGGAAGTGATGGAGAGAGATCACCACTCAGGCATTCAGACTCCCTCCTGCAGCCCCACGGAGCCCTCTCCCTTCTGCAGCCAGAGCTGCCGCTGAGCATCCTTTTTGCACAGCTTGGGAGGATGCGCTGGAGGTTTGAACCCTACACTACACGTGCTGTGTATGGGGCGCTCCAACAGATTTGCATTTGATCAGCTGCCTCAAAAGAAGCAGAAATGCTACAGAGCGTAAGAAGTTGCAAAACCTATCAGAAAAGCAGAAACATGGTATTAAACCATGTGTTTTAAAATTCCTCAAGAGTTGGTGGCTGTGGCCTGAGAGTAGAAAGGGATGCCTTGCTGGGTCAGCACACACCATGCTTTTACTTTCCCCCGCCACAAAGCACCTTCCCCCTCTCCTATCTGCCTCTGTTATTCTCCCTGAGGCCAGACCCCACGGAGTGCCTCCAGATGGTAAAGCAGGAAGAGATGGGGAGGAAAGGAAGGGAAGGGAGGGCAAGGCACAGGGCAAGGGGCTCTCCCTCCTCTGCCGAGGGATGGCCTAAGTCTTGTTCCAGGCAGAGAGGCAGGGACAGCTGCTGTGGAGGATGAGCATTACAAAAAGAGAGAAATAGCCTGGAAACAGCCTTGTTTTACGCCCTCATTTCCCACAGAAGCTGTCCTTGGAATCTCGTCTGTGGGAGGGAGAAGCCAAAGTCTGCGGGGCCCAGAGAGAAACCGCTGCTGAAAAGGGGACCCTCTGCTCCGTGGGGCTGCCCTGCACTCCCACTGCCATCCCTGCCCCTTCAGGACAGGGTAGAGGAGCAGGACTCCAGGGTATGGCTCTGCAAGGCTTTGCCCAAGGGCTGTAACCTGTTCTGTTGATGAATCTGTATCTCTCATCCTTTGAACTGAAAATGGAAGCAGCTCCTTGAAGGCACCCTACCCATTCCCAGCTCAGGTGCAGCTGACCGGAGCTGGCAGGCCAGGGGATGCCCCAAGAGTGGGTGTACGGGCAGGGCTTGTCCTATACAGCGATGTGTTTTGCGTTAAAGGGTGTCTCGTGAGCTGTTTGGGCAGCAGGACTGCAGGACAGGGAGAGCAGAGCACCCCTTGCTCTGTCAGCTTCAGTGAAGCATACAAACCTCTCAGGTCCCAGGAAAAACTAGTCTCCCTGAACTTAACACAGAGCATTCCCCTTTGCTGCCTGAAACCAGCCTAACACTGAGCAGTCCAACAACTGTCCCAGCAACACTGTACAGAAACCTGCCACCCGTGGGGCTGCCACACTTCTGCCCTCTGCAAATCTATCACGGCAAACTTCATTCTGCCTTCCCACCTAGATGACCAACACATTGGCTCCAGCCTTTCAGAAAGGCAAACCATCAAAGCTCTCCATGCCTTCAGCTTAGTCCACCAGGCTGACGCTGGACAGAAGAGAACCTCTGTATCACAGGCTGCTTATGCAATTGGCTTCTCCCCCCTTCCCTCCACCAAATTCCTGGCACACAAGAACACTAAACACCCCACCAATTAGACTGCTCAAAAGGCTAAGCAGCTGAACCAGAAATCACTGGAACAGTGCTCTGGGTGCAGCTTCCACAATAACATTCTCATATATGAATCAGTTCGACAAATAAACGTGCTCTGACAAAGGCAATCAGATGTAGTATTTTGTGGCAAGGAAATGAAGGAGCAAAAGAGCAGCTTCGGTGCAGTCAGCGTGAGCGTAGGGTTTCACTGACTACAAAACTCTAATGAGATAGTTGACTTTCCGTAAGTCATGCTCATCTGGATTTCATTACGAGCCATGGCTGCGAGCCAGGGCTGAAATGCTCTGGCCTGGGTGCAGGACCATTTCAAAACAAAATGGACTCCAAACATCTGGAGAAATGAAGAAAGTGGGAGAGTAATGTGCAGGGCCCAGGCTCCAGCTGATACTATGGCATCTCCCCCGTCTGCTGCAGGCAGCTGTGCAAGGGGAGCATCGGCAGACAGCCTTGCTGCTCCGGGAGGCAGGGACTGCCCCCAGATTTTCAAATAAGGCCACAGATTTAAAGGGTAAACAGTCAAGTAAGTATTTCAAAATCACATTTGGCTTAAATCCTTGCCAGCTTTCTCTCATAAAACGACATTCATTTTCCGACGAATTTCGTCTCCCCTACTTGTACTATTAAACACTGATTTCACTCCCTTTGCTACTTCGGACGTTTGCTTGGTAATGCAGCGGAGTGACAGCAACACAAGCTATGGAGTACTACGTCCCTCACACTGCCTCCACTGTCCCTGTGTTGTCAGAATAACGATATCATCAATTCCAAATGCCAGATCCTACTGCACCTCCTTTTTTATCTTCAATATTCACTGGGAAAAATAATAACCCTGTTTCTCTCACTGCCTCCCGTCACATTTAAGCAACTGCCCTATGACAAGCACTAAGGAAAGGATGAGGAGATTTAACTATAATTTTACAGCAACTTTAACAGTTCTTCCAAATGTAAATTTTCAAGCCGATGTGCTTTTATTTTAATCCCATTAGTCCCTGATAAAAGAAGCATCAAACCCAACCCCTATCTATTAGGAAGCATTCACACCGATAACAGTGTAGTCGTAAGACACTCAAACTATCAAATATACATCTAATTTTAAAAAAAAAAAAATAGTTCCTACACAGGCCATCTGGATTTGTCTACTGTGCTTCAGGTAAAGCTCTTGGTTCGTACAACGCTGTGACCAACTGCACGTGGTCTTCCACATATATCACGAGGTATATTTTACACAGATAGGATGGGAAAAACGAGAGATGAGATCAACACATTCTCAACAACTACAACCTATCTGCATTACTAAAGAGACACTCTGCTAATTCCCCCCATCTTAAACGCTGAGTAAAGAAGCTTTGCAGAACACTGTCCTGGGCTGTGAAATACAGGAGTGGCAATGGCAAGCACAAGCATACCACAAAGTTTCATTCAAAAGGCCTGACCTGTATTCTGCTCCCCATCCCTTGACAAAGCTCATTCGAATTGTGCACATTCTGGTCAGCTGATACACAGCTTCGAAGCCCTGATTTACAGACTGAGCCAAGAGAGCGGCGAATTCCTGGTTGTTAAAAATCTTCAAGTTACATCCTGTGAAAAAAGAACATGACAAGAACAAGGCATTAGCTTAACTAGACTAAGAAATCCATTTCTTTCTGAGGATGGAAAGAAACTCAATGCTGCTTTCCCATGTCCTCAGACCATGTGATACTATATACAGATTGTTTAAACACAGCATTTCAGAAAAGGAATCAAGGTTGCCACATTTCCACAACTCATATGCTAAGAAGGAAGAACCATGTTACAGGACAGAGAACGATGGATGCTAGTGCCCACACAGCGTATTGCGATCTACAAGACCAGACGTGGGATCCTCATGTGGAACCTCCTCCTATCTCCTTTACAATCATTTCCCTCATATTGTAATTTAAAAGCCTAACTATGACCGTAACACTTAACCATGGCAATCACTACAGGGCCTGAAAGAAAGGAATGCACAGGCTAAAAATAGGAACTCACTGGTGTTGGATTTACATGGTGTCCGTCGGCAGAAGTAATGGAGAAGTTCTGAAGTGAAATCGCTCCGGCAAGCCAGAAACCAGTTATCAGGGTTAAAAAGGCTGGTAGCAAAGCTGCTTCTTAAATGTAACTATCACGCGCCAAAGAATTTTCCTTTAAAACTGGAGTTTTCCCCCAGTGTTTAGTCCCAGCTAAAAGACTGGGAATAACTTATTCAACTGTTTTTAGGTGATAACGGTGAAATATAACAACATCCTTCATAGTTTAAATAAATAAATAAATAAATAAATAGACGACTCTTAAAAAAAGTGTCGCTATGCTTGCTTTCTCCCAGATAACCAGAAACAAGTTAAACTCTGAAACCTGGCACGCAACTAATGCTCATTTGGGATTACATATGAGCCAAGTCTGAAAAACAACCATTTGGACTGTGATGAATTGTATTTTTCTAAAATCACTTCTGAGCCTGCTCTTTTGGAAAAAAATAATAAAAAAATAAATAGACGACTCTTAAAAAAAGTGTCGCTATGCTTGCTTTCTCCCAGATAACCAGAAACAAGTTAAACTCTGAAACCTGGCACGCAACTAATGCTCATTTGGGATTACATATGAGCCAAGTCTGAAAAACAACCATTTGGACTGTGATGAATTGTATTTTTCTAAAATCACTTCTGAGCCTGCTCTTTTGGGCTGGACTCATACTGTCATCTGTTTTGGGCCGAACTGCATATAGCAAAGCGTAACCGCATGCAACAGCTCAGCAGCTGCAGAAACAACTACCCATTTTTGTGACCATAAAAGAGCACAGCCCAAGAGCCATGTATCTTACAGACAGTTTGAAGGGAAGCTGTGTCAGGCATATTGCAGTCTAAGGGGGGAAAATAAGAAGGGTGAGAGCATCAGGGCCAGGCTGAGCACAGAGAAAGAGCTATGGCAAAGAAAGCAAAAAACTTGATCAGGATCAGACTGCCAAGCTGTTCAGACTTCGCGACTGGATGGGAACAGGTCTCTCCACGACTGTGCCTGGGAGGAGTGGGTACGACTTGATCTTGTCAACACGGGAATGAAGAAACTGCTTCAAACCCAGCAAAGATTTGAAGATGAGTCTGAGAAGGCGGCCAAAGACTGTGGCAAAAGTGGGGAGAGCTGGAGTCCAAAAAATGTGCCTTAGATGAATCTACAGCGGAAATGTGGGTTGTTTATGTCTTCAGATGTTGACTCCAGCCGGGGTGGACTCTTGTGATGTGGCTGGAGAATTAAGTCATGTTTGCAACACTGGCAGCTGCTTCCTAAGCATCTGAGAAAGGAAACCCGTTAAGATGGGCCAAAGCTTGCAGTGTATGGATCTCTTCTCAAATGAAAGACAATCTTTATTCAAATATTTCTAATAAAAAGATCATTTTTTAAATACATACATACTTTTAACTGTAAAAAAATTAGCTTTTGTAAACCTAGCTAAATATCTAAATTCCCTTTCGAATGGCATCCTCTCATCCTAGCTCTTTTGCATGTATCTAACAAAAAACTATTTTCTTCCTAGACAGATGCAATAAATTCTTTTGTAATCTTTCACCATACTTTAGACATACGTTTGCTGTAACCAGAACAACAAGGTGCCTGCAAATGCGATTTCTCTAGAATAAAACTAATTCACAAAGGGGGGGGGGAAGTCTTATTACAGAACAGAAAAAAGTAACAATTTAAATCTATTATGGGTGAATCTAAATTAAGAAAAATTTCTTACGTTATATTCTTTTACTTAAAGGTACAAACAAAATTATAAACATGACTATCAGATAATTACAATACAATAATGGACTGATAAAACACTGCACGGAACAAGTGGCAGATTCTGCTCTTAGTTCTGCTTAGATACTGAAGTACTGTTTCTTCTTACTTGTATGAATGTAGTGCAAACAATTGTTGGAGCATACATAGTAGCCTCCTTTATCAGTACCTTCCTCCTATACACTACAAAAAATGCCCTGCTCAAGTTGTCAAGTTGCTTATAATAGGGTTCAAGTTTCTGATAGTTGTCAAGAATGGAGGTCAGCAAATCCATGCCTACCTTGACAGAGAGCTCGCTTTCCACAGCAAGTCCCCGTCTGCAAAAGGTGAAGCCTGCGTAGGATCACAGATAAGGCATATTTCTTTACCTGGTGGAATCTTGCAAACTGTTGCTGGGTGCCAGCCGTAGCGTTGGTTGCAGTTGGGAGACTGGACAAAAATGGCACTGTCACTAAGGCACTCGGCAAACACCTCACCACCAATGTAGTAGAGTCTTACTCCTCGTCCTAGGAAACACATGGCACAGTTTTGGTTTAGCTTAGAACAATCATCTGCAAAATCTGCAAGGAGAGCTCGTAGAGACGTAGACAACCTCTGCATGAGACAGCTCTCAAAAAGCAGCTAAACGATGAATGATGGAAAATGAAAACCACCTCTTTTGGCCCGCTGGGTAATCCCATTAGGGAGCAATAAATTTGCTCGGTGAGCGAGTTAAGCTGAGGAAGGCAGGAGGACCAATTTATAAAGTCAGAATTGCACTCTCCGGCCCCACTGTCAATCACAGCCTGGACCGCATAAATTTACCACCTCACAGCCTGCTTACTCCAAACATACATGTCTCTGATATTTTCCATATGAATGTTCTATCAGCTAACATATGGTTTTCAACCTTTTCTGAAAGTCATCGCAGCTGGATACAACTGTTTGTTTATTTACTTAGTGATTTAGAATTAAATTATACAATGTTTTCAAATCATTGCCTTTTGTTTGAGATTACATTGTATACAAGGACAAACATACATTTCCCATAGGGGTTTACACAAATTATAAAAATCTCAGTTAATAAAGAAACAAATTTCAGGAATACATCTTTGTTACTCAAATAAACATTTGCTGTGGTCTTACATTCCTATTTGAGTATCTTGCTTTCATTCTTCCACAGAGCATAAGGAGCCTGCTGAATTTAAAGACTGATTTCTGAATCTTGGTGGGTTTTTTGGGGTTGGGGGTTTTTTTGGTGCTAGAAATCATAGTAAGGAAGGATCATCCTGTATGAAGTTTAGTGCTCAGGAAAGGGTATAAAGGGGAGCAAAATCAGGACAAAAAAGCAGGTTCATTTTTGATGGAAGTCAGAAGAAAACACAGCAAAGCAGAAGCAATTTTGCCTTTTATTAAAATTGCATAAATCTGGGATATTCTATTTAGCGCAAGTTTAACTAAAGAAAAATTGAATGTTACCTTGCAGTATAAGCAGGAAAAGTGGAAATTGAGATGAAAATCAAGGAACTAAGTTTCCATTTATAAAAGAACAGTCAGAAAATAAAATAGTGCAGGAGGGAACAGGAATACACAAGATTATCACTAACATCCATCCAAATAGAGTTCAGAAGGGTGCATGTAAAAGTTTAAATTCTGTTTCTCTCTATTACATGCAGCAATTTTAGTGTTCCTCAGTGCATTTTTTTGTATACTTTTATGAAAAAATGCAATTAGTGTTCCTTTATGGAAGATTAGCCTGCTAAAACACCATGGATAATCAAACATCGCAGTGTTCTAAAACTGACCAAGCTGCATGCCGATTAGGTGAATAAAAAGCTTTACATGCAGGTCTCCACCTTCCACCTTGAAAGACACTGACTAAAACAAGGAAATAGAAGTTACCAATGTGTCGTCTTGTGAGTTCCACTGACGTATTTCTGTTCACGTTAGACAATAAACCAAGGCAGAAGCGTTCAGAATTAGATGGGTCAGTGAAACCATCCACGGTCATAGAGGGCTGAGAGGCATGGAAAGTCTCTCCCACTCGCTGGTTGAGTTCATAGTAGGATATCGAGCACCAGAAAGCTGGCTCGCAGTAGGTAACAGGCTGCAGATCTGCACAAAATAAAAAGCAAAATGAATCACAGGCCCTCAGGAGGGATGGGGGGGGTGAAAAAAAGCGACCGTTTTGAAATATTGTTCTGCTTCATTCCTTGGGCTCACTTTAACCATCAAACTTTAATTACTTGACAGATTTTAATGGACCGCAGCTAGAAAGTTACATCATCCCTGAAGCTTTTGGCACATGGAACAATCACAAATAGTCAAAGATAGTTGTCACTTAGCAAGTGGGGTGTCACTTAACCATCTTCACACTTGGAGAAAATTTAAGAAATAAACTTAGCTTTACTATGAAACGTGGGATCACTTTTAGGTAGCCAGTACCCTAAAAAGAGAAAAGAAAAGGAGAGAAAAGGAAGAAACAGAAAACCTTAGAAAAAGCAGACCACAAACCTGCTTTCAGTAACACAGGTCTCCAGAACCCTAATGCTGTGCACTTACACCAAGTAGCCAGCAAGTCCAACTTTCGTTCTTACCGACTGTTACGATCTCTCTGGCACTGATGAAACCAGTAGAGTTGTCTGCAATACGCACCAAATTGTATGTAATACTGGCATCAAAGTAATTTAAAAATTAGATCCTTTCTTCCAGTCCATTTGATCTCAAATTTTCAAAAGCAAATCCCCAATAGATGATGACATCTCTTTTATTGGGGTTATGGTTTGACTCAGCTTGTGGACCGAAGCGAAAGGACTGAAGTTCATGAGCAGACTGAGGCTGAGGCAGTCTCAGGAAGACAATACTTCATACGCATGAAAGGTGGGACATTCAAATGGCATCGAATGATTTAACTGCTCCCACTGAAGCCAATGAGATTTCACCAGAGCAAGGCTCAAGTCAAATATTTTTGGAAATACTGCACTAGATGATCTCTTTTATTGTTATGGTTTGACTCAGCTTGTGGACCGAAGCGAAAGGACTGAAGTTCATGAGCAGACTGAGGCTGAGGCAGTCTCAGGAAGACAATACTTCATACGCATGAAAGGTGGGACATTCAAATGGCATCGAATGATTTAACTGCTCCCACTGAAGCCAATGAGATTTCACCAGAGCAAGGCTCAAGTCAAATATTTTTGGAAATACTGCACTAGATGATGCCCAGTCCTGCTGTAAGCCAAGAATCTGCTGAGCAGAGGAAGTGGAAAACAGACTAAGCTAATTGATAAGTGCTCTATTATCCACATTCAGTGCAAGAAATAAAAGCAAGAGAAGAATTCCCTCCAGTTCTCCCCTCAATTTATCACTTCATCCCCATTCAAATGGCACTTACAAGCAGAACAGAGCAACTTCCCATATGGTCAAAGAGTTAACATCAAGCAGCAAAACCCAGCTTTTTCCATAGGCTTTCCCATCTGTTGTTCCTGCAAGGCTTAGGCGAATCTGGGGCTTAAGAGATCAGCTCCAAAAAATCAAAGACAGGTTTTTACCATCGCAGCCTCCGCTCACACTGAAGAGAGTGTCTCTACAGAGGTTTGAGAGCCACTTCTCTTCTGGTACCTGCTGTTACTCCGTAACTTTTAGAAACAGGTTGAAGCAGCCTGGCTTCAGCCAAAAGACACGCTGGTTTCCTCTCCATTAGTGTGGTGTATGAATTCCCAAAGTAGCTAATAATCAGAAAAAACCTTGGTTTCTGCTTTGTTACAAGCTTTGCTGACAGCAAATAAGGCACTGAATAAAAGTGCATCTGGGGATCTCTAATCCTTAGCAGATCTTCAAAGTTCGTGAATTCTGGAGCTTATATCCATTCCCAGCTTCTTCCACGGTCTCTCTCTTTCCATAATTATATAATCCGAAAGAAAAATGCTCTATCATAAGCAAAGCCCAATGTTCCTGCTCTCCTCCACACATTTACACCCACAAAAGGAAAAGCGTATCTTCCTCTTACGGAAAAGGACATAATGCTCAAAGCGAAAGCTAACAGAAGGCAGCTCAATAGAACAGGGTTCGCTACATCAATTTAAGGGCACACCTGCTGTTTCTTCACATTTTAAACAATTTTATAGCTTAAAGCAAGCCCCTCTCCTGGCATGCACAGATGATATTGAACACATCCAGGAGTCACACAAGTTCACTGTCTCTGCCTTTTTCTCTTGTATGACATATTTGCTTGTCCCACTGGAAACTGCCACATCAGGCACACAGGCATATTTCTCCAGTACCAGCCTCAGTTCATCAATTAACAGTCGTGGCCTGCAGCAGTAATCTGTACACACCGTAACTGACGCCGGGCTTCACATGACTCCAGTGCAATTTGTATAGAGCTACAGCAAATACCAGCACTAATCAAAGTCTCTTAAGGTGTGTCCACCCACTTAAGAAAACAGACAGTGTTCCACAGGACTGTGCTCTTATTCCACAGCAAGTGCCTTTCTAATTGAAAGGCTGCTCAGCTCCAGAAAAATCAAATCAACTTTTGTTGATTCTTAAGTAATATCCTCAGATTGGTACTATTCAAGTTATAAAAACACTGAAGCCTGTGTTGCTCTCTATGGTTTCATGGTCCTTTCCTTCAGAAACCATCTCCGCTTGGTTACGACTCAAGGGAACTGTGGATTCCCCACTGAAGGATGTACGGATATTTTATTTCCAGCTTATTTGCAACTTGAGGAAAGACACAAACCAACAAATCCTATTTTGAAGAAAAACCTGTCTCTAAAAAATGCAGCCAAGCTTTTAATGATGCTGCTTTCTCCTATGATTTGTGGTCTTAGGCTTCAGCTTAAGCCGTCGTGGGATGGGCAAGTTTCCTCTTGTGTTAGAGCTGTCCTGAATATTCATTTTCAATTTATGATTTACTGTTTGGGGAAAAGCAAGAGAATGTAGCTCTGCTAAAGCCAAAGGCTCCTGAGGGGTACGCAATCAACTAAAACATGATGCATTAAAACCAAGCAAATCCTGCCTGAATCGTCCCCATACAATTTCAACCTCGACTCACTACGGCTTTGCTTTCACAAGTGTCCACTGAGTATCGGGATGCTACCCATATTGCATCTTCCCTACAAGATGAAAGTACTATCTGTTCAGCTGCAGAGGAAAAAAATCTGCTGGCTGCTTTGCAGACTCTACAGTGCGTGCTCTAAGCATAAGAGTGGTTGTTATCCTAGTTTCAGTTAATGCGTTTGATACCCAATGTATATTAGAAGTTACTGATATATGTTATCCAACTGCATTAGTTGCAGCCACATTAATTGTAACTCCCTCCTCAGAAATGAAAAGATAAGTAGGTGTGCACGCTCCCTTCTCCTCTGTACTTGGAGAAGGGCTGTCTTTTCACTGCTTTGGGAAATAGTGTTTCAATGCAGAGAGTAACAGAGGCTCATGTTACTGATGGATTTGACCATAGGGTATGTGCTTATTTCACTTACAGCTTTTGCGTCACGTCTTTTGCGGAGCAAACACTGACAATGGATTTCCTGTACACCAAGGGACTGCCTCACTCCAAAATAACAATACGCATGCAACCTCAGGCCTGGCCCTTGGCCAGCGTAAACTCCCTGACTTCATTCTGAATGTCCACATAATGCTGGCAACTCTCCTTTCATTTTGGTTGTTTTCTGTATTTTCTCCAGTTCATATTTCAGTAATACAGAAGAGATCATTGGATATATCTAACTTCCAATTTCAAGCTTATGTCTGACAACTGAAAATTTGACAACTGAAAATTTGACAACTGAAAATTTGGACCAAAACTAGAATGCTACCACGTCAAATGCACAAGCTGAAAGGAGAAAAAAAAAAATCCCAATATGTTACCTTGCAACACTTCTGTGCCTGTGAATGGAAAGATGAAACTCCCTACGTTCCTTCAACCCTGTATTAGTCTTACAGCTTTACGCTGAAATATATACATTGCACCTCAAACAAACCTAGCTTCTATTGTCCTAGTTGGTTTACCTCATGCTAGTTTATTGCCTTTGTAATTCTCTGGAATATGGCCATGGGATTTAAGTCCAAAGTTTAGCTTAGACAAATTAAACTCTCTTAAAAGCTTTGGGTAGTTCTGGTCAAATAAACGGACATCAACACTGTGACATTATTTTCTTAATGGCAAAACTGCAAAAACCCACCGCACTCTGCGGCTGAGAGCTTGCCGATAATTTTCCTCATTGCACACTATTGTGTTTTTTAAATTTCTATTAAATTTTCTTAACAAACACACAGAGAAAGCCTGATTAAACTTCTGCAGATCAAAGTACAGCCCTAGACACTGGAGTGTTCTACTCATCCACAGAATTGTATAGCACAGCAAAAGCAGGAGCACTGCAGGTCACCAGCCACCAACTAACTTCTGTCTAACTGGAGAGAGAACCTGCAAAGCTGAGAAAAAGTTCTGCTCTCACAGCCTGTGCAACCCCTTTCTGGGCTGCAGGGACCATCAGGCTGAAGGTCTGATGGGCTGCTGGTATGTTCACCCGCACTGCTATAAGCAGCTCCTTACTTTAGATATGTCATCTACAAGGTACAGATGATGACAATTTTGTCATTGGACAGTTTTAAGAGTCACTCAGCTACATGCCATTTCATTTGTTATTTTGTAGCTTCCTCACGTGCAAAAATTTACAGTAAAATTTTTGAGAGAGACAAGAAGTTCTAAATTTGTGGCAGCTCTTGCCCAAGAGCAATAAATATTTGGTTTGCAAAACTTAAAGGTATTTTTTAGTGTTGGTAAGTTAAAATGCTTTTCTGATGTCTGCTCCTTAGACTACAAAGGGATTCCTTGTGGTTAACCAGCTTCACCTGCTCCTACTTAGTATTTGTCACCAGACAGCACATTAGACATCTGATGGGCCCGTCAGCTGAGCAGCATGTGTCAACAACCAGGGTCCTTGTTAGAAAGGAGATATGTTGGGGCCTCTTTCCTAGAAACTCCTTTCTTCCTTATGTAAGGCAGATGCCATAGTCAACTTGCCAGGTTGGTTTTGTTACATGTAATTGGCTTTTTATTTTTAGGTTGAAAAAAAATGCTAGAAATTCTCATCAACTCCTAGGCAGCACACTGGAGCATAATGGTTTCGAACAAAAAAAGAAAAAAGGAAATAAAAGTAAGTTATCCATGTATTCTCTTCTTAGGCTTTAACAGTTAAAGCAAATAAAAGTTTAGTGGCACCATGGCAATATATTCCATGTTTGGGGGCG